GAAGAAGAAACTAAACTTTTAACATTAATTTGTAGCCGAAGTTGTGAATTAAAAGATGGCTGTTTTATTATTTACTTCAAAAATAAGTAAAAACAGTTTTCAGTTGTTTTTATTTTCAGTCTTCAGTAGAAAGACAGCTCTGACTGCTGATGTGGACACAGAGACATGGGATTGAGATAAATAGTGTTAAATTATTTTTTATATATATAAATGTTTCTGTTCAGTGCCCTGAGGTGATTCTGTTGACTTGGTGCTTTAGAAATAATCTGAACTGGATGGAGATGCTTCTAAGACTTTTGGATTTTTATGAGATTATGCAACTGTGAACTATGTGAAAAAGCCAATTAGTAAAGTTCTGTCTCAGGAAGATTAGCAAAGAAACAGGTTTGCTCAGTTAGTTTTTGTTAGAAGCTTCAAGAAACTACCAAAGATGAAGGGTTCTGTTCTCACATGTGCAACTCACATTTTCAGCTGTGTCAGCTGGCTGAAGGTTGCTGATCCCCCGCACACCTTCTCCTCATGCGTCGTCCTCACTGACCCCTGAAGCAGACACAGTGACTTTCAGCTACCGTGGGCAACTCCTGGCTAGTCCTCCTCATGGTGCACCCTGGTCTGATCCACATCTTACCTCCACATCAGTCTGGTTTCAGGAAACAACACAGCACAACCACTGCTTCACTGAAGGTTCTTAATGATGTTGTTGAAGCACTGGATGCTAAGGATTATTGTGCTGCACTTTTCTTAGACCTGTCTAAAGATTCTGACTCTGTGGATCAGAACATCTTGTGTCATAAACTCTCAGAAATTGGTTTCTCAGAACACACCATTGGTTGGTTCTATCTTTCAGACCGGAGGCAATGTGTTCAACATAATGGTACTTCCTCCAGTTATTTAACAGTCAACAATGGTGTACCACAAGGCTCAGTCTTAGGAACCACCCTCTTTACAATCTACATAGGTAATGTAGGTCAGAGCATCCTCGACACATCCATACATTTCTATGCTGATGACACAGTTGTTTGTCGAGCTAAAACTGTTGATAAGGATTTCCAGCTCTTGCAATCTGCATTCAACATCATCCAGTCAGATTTGTTCCGTCTCAAACTTGTCCTAAATGCTGACAAAACCAAAGGGATGTTGTTTTCAAACAGGAAGTTGGTCCCAACAGTTCTTCCTCTGATCTCATCCTCAAATGTGTCCCTATTGAGTTTGTCAATTCCTACAAATATTTGGGTATCTTGGTCGACTCTCATCTCTCTTTTAAACTCCACATGAAAACTTGATAAAGAAACTGGAAGCTAAACTGGGTTTCTTTTTCAGAAACAGATCCTGTCTAACCCTGAATGTTAGGAAACACCTTGTATCTGTGACTTTCCTTCCCTCCATTGATTACGGTGACATTATTTACACGAACGCTCCTACAAGAACCCTGCAGATGTTGGATGCTGCAGATGTTGGATGCTGTCTATCATGGTGCACTAAGATTCATAACTGGCTGTGATTATCGTACCCACCACTGCACCCTGTATCCACTGGTTAACTGGTCACCATTAACTTCACACAGACTCTCCCACTGGTACATTTTCATCTTTAAATCACTTCTTGGTCTGCTGCCTTCATACATCTCCTCCTACATGTCTCTGCGTGAGTGCAGCTACAGCGTGCGCTCTCAGGACATCATTACCTGCAGTGTTCCCTCAGTGAGGACTGAACTAGACAAAAGGACCTTCTCCTACTCCGCTCCTGTTTCCTGGAATATCTTGTAAAAAGATTTGAAGCTCTCGACCTTTGACCTCTCTGTGCGGCTTCAAACATCTGATAAGTTCCTGCAAGAACCAACATAGACATGTTTATGTTTTTAGTTTTCTACACGGCTTTACAATCTCGCAGTTTCGTTTCATTTTTTTTAAATACAATTTTCTTTTTCAATTTATATGATTTATATTGTAATTGTCCAGTTGTCATCATTCTTTGTTAAAATCAGTTCTTTTGTAAATGAGTCCGAGGCTCAATGAGACAAACCTGGATAAATAGAGGTTGAATGAATGAATGGACTCTTGTCTTACTACGACTGACTTTCATTCCTCCTTTCAAGTGCATACCTCCACCTCTCCAAGTTCTCTTCCACATGTTCCCTGTTCTCACCACAGATCACGTCATCTGCAAACATCATAGTCCACAGATTTCTGCCTGACCTCATCTGTTAGTCGATCCATCACCAGAGCAAACAAGAAGGGGCTCAGAGCTGATCCTTGATGCACTCCCACCTCCACCTTGAAGCTATCTGTCACTTGTACAGCACATCTCACCACTGTCCTGCTGTCCTCATGTCAACCCATATGTTTTCACATTACAACCCAGATGTTTTCACACCACAGATGTTTTCACACAATGACCCAGATGTTTTCACACGGCTCCGATTATTCTGGGGCTCAGCAACATCTGGTCCCTCTGTTGTGTCTCCAGGTTCTTTCAGCCAAACACTAGGAACAAGAGAACGTGCGCTGAGCTGCTGATTAGAAAATCTTTCTGTATTTACAGGTTTACCAGACAGGCAGGTACAGACAGAGTGCTTATTTACAGAGCAGCACATGATGCTAAAACATGACTGTATGTACAGATGGACTACAGCAAAAAGTACACACTAACAAGTTTTATCACAAAACGTCAGGAACTCTACACAGTATCACAAATTCCATGAGCTGTACAGTTAAAAACCAAAAAATGGTAAATCTACATGAAATCCAGCGTTCCTCCAAATGAGAAGCACTGAATTATATATATTTACATTTTGTGTACATAGTGTGTAAGCATGTATGTTGTCATACATTTAGAGCTACTTGTGGTGCAAAAGCAGCAAAAGAAAAAGACAAAGTGTGGAATCCAAGCCTAAAAACGAAGGTCTGACATAGTACGGTTACGCTGTTCATAACTAAGATACTGGCAAAAAGAAATATTGAGCGCAGCTAAATAATGTCGGCTCAAATGGTCCGAGGTTACAGATTGTCAATAATACTTCAAGTTCATGCAAAGATACAAACGAAACTAAACAACGTTTCCCTGTTCACCATCCAGCTGTGCAGCTGTCCACCATCCAGCTGTGCAGCTGTCCCTTCATCGTGATATGGAAGGAGCAGAACAATTGGGGGGTGGGGGTGGGGTGGGGTGCTGTGAGGGTTATGGAACAGAGTTGGAGCGCAGGACGGGCACTTGGTGGGCGGGGGCACTGTCAGCATCGGCCTCATCTTGGCTGGAGGGGCTGCTGGGGGGTTGTGTGGAGGTGGGGGTGGGGTCTAAGCAGGCTGCACTGCAGCTGGCAAGGGGGGGCAGGACGCCGTGCTCCTCCTTGGGCCGCTCACTGGCGAACTCGCTGACGCTGAAGACAAACTGGAGACAGCCCAGTTTGATGTAGCTGCCGTGATGGAGGAGGGCCGTGCCCTCCCAGCCCGCCCCCGTGCCCCCGATCAGTCTGGAGCTGCTCGCCTTACAGCTGCACGAGCGCAGCGCACCCCCCTGAGACTGGCTGCTCATGACTCCACCAGCAGGTAAACAGCCCACCACAGGAGCAGGACCTCCACGCTCGTCCCGCTTCTTACTGCGACCTGCAGAGAAACACAGACTGAGACGAGAACAAACCACTGATCCACAGGGACGGCTGTCTACAAACAGGAAGTCCCAGCGCGCTGCCACGAACCCTCAGAGGGACACAAAGTAGGATTCAGCCACACGTTCATTTTGTGTGTGTTGTCAAACCATTCCTGACAAACCTCAAAAATACTGATATATTTTTAACTTTGTCCTGTAAACCCACTGCCACTGGGCACGGCAAGGTCGCTGGTTCAAATCCCAGCTGGGCCCTTTCTGGGTGTAGTTTGCATGTTCTTTCCATGCTGTGTGGGTTTCCTCCCACAGACCAAAAACATGCATGTTAGGCTGATTGGTAACTCTAAATTGTCCCTAGGTGTCCCTGAGATGGACTGGAGACATGTCCAGGTGTCCTCCTCTTGCTGGACATGGGCACCAGTGACCCAGAAAAGAAGAAGCGGCTAAAGATGAATGGATGGACAGATGGACAATACTCTAGCGTTCTTTTAGAAAAGGTAAAATGGACATGTCATAAATGAATTTTGATCTTACATTTATCATAAAATAATTACCGTATTTTCCACCGTACACGTCGGTCCACCCTCCAAGTCAAATCCGTCCAAATATGTCAAATAAAGTGGAATAATCCATAAATACGTCGCATCTATTACACGTCACCGCTGACGACCTGGAAATGTGGACCGGTGTTGTGCCAAAGATTCATGGGCTGCCAAATAGTGGCCGTGGGAGTGTGCACGGGAGGACTTTAACAAGAATTTAACAAGATTAACACTTAAAAACAATTATTTATTCAAAGTTGTGTCTCAGCTGAACTTTTACTTAATAAAAACACTTGAACGGTGAAATCAGCTGCACGTCTCGGGCGGTGCAGAGAAATGAAGCTGATCTGACGGTTGCTCCAGGCGAGCTGGACGGAGGTGGCAGGCTATGGCAAGCTGATTGTGTCATTAATAGCCACTTTTACCTATTACATGACACAATGACATGCCATACTTCTCTGCTGCCATCTAGTGGATGAAAATGTTTGATGTTTTCAGTCAGAATGAATGAAAACGGTCAAATCTGAGACAAACATTGATTATAAATATGGAACAAATCCATCACTTCAGTGTACGAGTCGCAGGGGATGTAAATTATATAAAAAAACACTTATGGGTGAAGAATACGGTAATATGTTGAACACCTCTTCCCTCAGTTCAAGAAACAACTTTGTTTATAAAGCACTTAATAATTGTGGTGCTCGCACAGCATCGTGCACGTCAAGCCTCGTCTGCAGTTTGGAAAGTGAAACCAGATTTATTTGGACGTCAGAATGAATTTGAATCGTTTTCTTCCTGGAGGTTTTGGAGATCAAGGATCTTGTGAAGCCAGTACCACGCCGTGCACGGCAGATCGTCGTCGTAGTGACAGCATGAACCCTTCGTATATTTCCTCTAACATCAGATCCCACAGCGACTCGTGCTGCTACAGGTGTGTTTTTATTTTACAGCCTTTTCATTTCATCTCAGCAGCGTCCAGTCGAGCGGACGTTGCTTCTCGTGCACTTTTTCACGAGTGGTTCAGAAATCCATGTCAGTAGAGTGCACGCTTAAAACATGCTCGGGCCAGACGGAGCAGATCTGGACTTACGGATAATGCCTTGGACCTTGGCCACGAGGCCGCTGGGCGGAGACGGCGAGGCTTTCTCTGAGAAGTCACAGGAGTAGAGGACGTTGTCCACGGTGGTGCCGTGCTCGCTGTAGTTCAGCAGCTCGTAGTGCTTGGTGTTCTGCAGAGGAGACACACCGTCACAACAACACAGGGCAGCACACACACCTCCCGAGGTTAGAGGCTCGTACCTCATCGTAGAAAATACAGGCGTGCTTCCCCGATACGTAGTTGCAGTGCCCGTAGTTGGTAAGGCACACGTCCATGTCGGCACCTGCACAGAGAGCAGAAGACAGTCGTGCTCATGTCGTGCACTGAACACGTGACACAGTCCTGACGTCGGCCTCCAGCCGACATGTTGCTTTTACTGAAGCTGCTCGTTCAAGACAAGAGCGCCGAGAAAACACAGCCAAGAACAACTGTGACAGTATGATCAAGAATATTTTCAGCCATATTAAAATCAGCATTATTGATTATTGAACATAGACAAAAATATATTTATTGCACTTAAAGAACATAATGAGACTGTTTCTACATGTTCCTGCTAAACTTAAAGCATGATGAATCACTGTAAAACAAGTGCAGCAAAGTTCTTACAAGTTCATTCAAGGATCATTTAAAGCAGAAAACAATAAAAACGGTTCAAACGTCAATAAGTTGAAATAAAAAGCAGAAAACAGCCATCGCTGTAAAACAGGTTTTTAAAATGAAAGATGTCTGATGAGAAGCAGCAACAACAAAACTCTGAGCCTCCTGTAGACGTCGGCTTGTCCAGGAGCAGCTCCGATCAGCTGACTGAGGCTCTGATCAGCTGACTGAGGCTCTGATCAGATGACCGAGGCTCTGATCAGCTGACTGAGGCTCTGATCAGCTGACCCCAGGTTCTGATCAGCTGACCCCAGGCTCCGATCAGCTGACCCCAGGCTCCGATCAGCTGACCCCAGGCTCCGATCAGCTGACCCCAGGCTTCCAGCTGACCCCAGGCTCTGATCAGCTGACCCCAGGCTCTGATCAGCTGACCTACACATCTTTTTGTTTTATTCTGTAGTATTGATGAGGTCACCATCCCCAGCCTCTCCTCAGTGGAACAGCTGTCATCGTGGGCGTCTCTTTAAGACGGCTTCAGTTACAGATGTGATTTTGTTTTTCTGACTTGCTCTCTACGAAGGCGGATGCTTTCTTGTCCCTCTCCTTCCTCCCTCCTGCTTTTGCTCTTGTCCTGTGCATCTTTTTCAGAACCTCCCTTGACACATCTTCTGAACTGTAAATTGTGGATCTGGTCAGCTGGTCTCTCAACGCAAATTGATAAAATGTTCTCGACGAGAAAACAAGAGAACCCTCGTGCCTGAAGGGACACGCAGCTGGATCCATCATGGATTTCTGGGGTGAATGGAAGATGATGTGTCTATCCGTATTGTCCGGTGAGGAGGTTGAAGACGTGTACATAATTGGATTATGACAACAGGATTATCTGCGTTTTGGAATCAGCGGGTACCTGGGATATCAACAAGTTAGGAAGACGTCAGCAGCAGTTTTTGGCAATGGTGGGGCTGCATGTCTATGTGAAGGATTGTACCGTTGAGCACTCAGACTCGGATGCTTTGTGAGCCTGGAACTCGCTGGCATGAAGGAATGGACCTTGGAGAAGGCTACAAGCACAGATCAGTGGAATGACCACAAGTGTGGCTGCTTGGATTCACCACTGAGTGAAGCAGCAGAACTGAAGGCAGACATGAATCAGTCGGCCTGCCCCCAAAATATTGTTGTTTATCTGAATATGACTTCCCTGCTTGGCCTTGGAGAGATCAACTTATCTCAAATTGTTCATGGATGATGTGTAAATCATGAAGCTCTGCTCTGCCCCCCCCCACTCCGAGAACATCTGTGGACCCTGATCAGAGCTGGGCCAGCTGACAAGACACTGTGCCATCTTTATCAGGACCATGGAACTTTCTGGCAGAGACGATAAGGGCAGCGCTTCACAGCAGCTGCAGCCCCGTGCACCTCCGTCTACCCTCGTTTTCTTTGGACGGCTGCACAGAAATGTATTTTCACTGAGCTTAACTGTGCAACGACAGTAAAGCTGATTCTGATGTCACTGGTGTTCTCCACTACCTTCAGTAGAGCGTTACGGGAGAAGCATGCTTGTTGACGGACACGTGGACTGTAGTTTAATTCCCTGGCTCAAAGGTAACGTATGAACTGTGTTTGCAGGTGTTCCACTGGGCCTGGTAAGGCTGTTGAAGAGTGTGTTTAATAAAAGGACAAGCTGTGTGGAGCTCTCAGCGTGGTCCAGAGTTGTTGACTGTCCAGCTGAATATTACTGCCACTAGAGTGTTGTAGTCAAGGCCAAGTCCGGTCTCGAGTACTACAACACTAACTGCCACCTCCTCTCCACCACTGATTACAAATCCAAGCCCCGTTACAAGACGAGTCCTCGACAACCACAGAGTCTGAAACCTGCTGCTAAAACCAACAAACACCTGAAATCTGTTACTGACAGTCAAGGATATATTTTCAGACCACGTGCCAGTCCAGTTTGAGTTCTTCCTCCCCCATCTAACTCCTAAGTCGTGCATTCCTGCACGTAGGACTCGGACCATTAACCACTTCACTGCCGCACGTTTCAGATGTTTAAAACTCTGAAATGCTAATTCAGCCCCCAATGTTTCTCACCACTACTGAGGAGCTGACATCCCAGTTCAACTCTGTCTGCTTAAAGACTCTGGATCATGTTGCACCTGTTAAAACCAAAAAATCAAAACTCAGAGCAGAACCTTGGCTGAGTGACGTCACCAAGGCTGTTAGGCAGCAATGTAGGAGGGTGGAGCGAAAGTGGAGGAAAGACAGGCTGCAGGTCTCTTTTCAAATACTTAGAGAGAGTTGGCGCTGTTATCAGAAAACAGTAAAAGCTGCTAAATCAAAATACTTCTCTGATATAATTACCTCAAACTCTCACAACCCACGTGTCCTCTTTTCCACCCTAAACTCTGTTCTCTACCTCACTGAACCATCACCTCTGGAAGCCTCGACTGAGCTGTGCAACAACTTCCTACATTTCTTTGTGGAAAAAATTGCAACCACCAGGGCTCTCATTTCCCCTCCAACTCATGACCCATCCATCCCACCTCAATCTGTAGCTCCTTTTGACCATTATGAACCATCACTCTATCTTCTCTAGAGCAGGTCATGTGCAGCTTGAAACCTTCTGGTTCCCCCTTTGATGTGGTCCCCCCTCGACTACTAAAGGAGGTTTTTCCTACTCTAGGTCCGTCCATTCTTGATATAGTAAACAGTAGTTTATCCACTGGCGTGGTGCCAAAATCCTTTAA